CGGACTTCTGCCCTGCACAGTTACCACATTCCTGAAAAGTGCAGAAATCAATACTCGGTGAACAGAGGTCTGGCTTTCAGACTGAAGCATCCTGACTTATAAATACCACTTCAGAGGCAATTTATCTGACTTGATTGATTTTTAGTTGTCAGCTGGCTCCTATTTTGCTGTCTTAAAGTTTCTCCACTCCACATCCTTCCTATAAAGAAAGAGGCAAGATAGTGTATAGGAAGGAGCCTGAACTAGATCAAAGACCTGGATTCTAGGTCTGGCGGTGCCACGGACTAGTTGGGTGTGCTTGGATAAACCACAGCTTTCGTAGGCTTCAATTTTCTGCAAATTGAAATGACAAGCCTGGATAATTTCGAAGGTGATTTATTCATATATGAGGTCTATCCAGAAAGTATCCAGCCATATACTATGAAAAATAGAGACATTTATTGAAGAAGATGCAAGAAACATTGTACAAAGGACAATGATACCACCTTGGTCCCTTTCAAAGTAGGCACCTTGAGACTTCACACAGTTCTCCCAGTCACCATCAGCTACACCATTGTATTTTCCTGAATCTCATCAACAGTCTGAAATCTCTTCCCGTTCAAAGGTGAGTTTAGTTTTGGGAAAAGCCAAAAGTTGCAGGATGCCAAGTCTGGGCAGGGGGCGGGGTGGCCTGAGTCACCTGGGTGATTTGATGTTTCACCAAAATCTCTGCACAAGACATAATGCATCAGCAGGCATGTTGTCATGAAGAAGCTGCCAATCACAAGTTGCCCACAGCTTTGGCCTTTGGAATCATCTGAATGGTTTCCAAGGAGGAATGTTCAACCTTAACACAAAATTTGAGGCAGATTCTTTGGTCTCCTTGCTCAGTCATTTTGAATGTGATGGCCACACAGTACACATGCTCACTCAACCGCATCTACCACCCCCACTAACTAGTACAGTGAAGTCATCATTGTTCACACATGAGCATTTCAGTACACTCTCCTTGGCTGCCAGGCTACAGTGATGTCGCACAAACCGTTCTCTTTGTACTAACAATGGTTGGAATTTTTCCAGATGGTTCTTATATATATGTTTGAGTCCAGACCCCATCAGTAACTGGTTAGATAACCTTGAGAAAGTTGCCTTGGTTTGCTGATTAAAAAAATGGGGTGAGGTCCTGGCCCCATAGCTCACTTGGTTAGGGCGTCATCATGCACCAGGGTTGTGCTTGCTCCCACGTCAGGGCACATACAAGAATCAACCAGTGAATGAATAATAAATGGAACTACAAATCAACACTTTTCTCCCTTCCCCCTCTCTAAAAACCATTAAGTAAAAATTTAAAAATACATAAATAAAGATATAAATCTCTATTGTACAGGATTAAATAAAATAAGGTATAAAAAGTGTCTGATGAGGTAATAGTGCCACAAATGTTTAGCCTGGAATGCTGACTTTAAGCTAATGACTCTAAACAGACACTTTATTTCAATAAAAGAGCAACTTAAAAAATTTTGTTTTCAATAAGTTTACATTCAATATTATTTTGTATTAGTTTCAAGTGCACAGCATAGTGGTTAGACACTCATATAGTTTACAAAGTGTTTTCTCCAACATTTCCAGCACTCATCTGGTACTACACACAACTATTGCAATATTATTGATTATATTCCCCATGCTGTACTTCACATCCTCGTGACTATCTTATAACAACCAATCTGTACTTCTTAATCCCTTCATATGTTTCACAGGAGCAACTCTTTAAAAAATAACCTCACCTATGTAATCTCTTACAAAGCAAAGACTCCTAATTCCCAGCCTGACAAATCTAGATTTTACATACAATAAAATCTTGACACCTCAGTTATTCCTTGTCAATGAACAATTTTCTTGTTAATTTGGCTAAAAGAGTCTTTGTTTTCAACCCCTAACATTGAGAATCACTCTAACTTGTCTGCACCCATTCCTTTGCTCTAAATCCATTCTTCTAAACAAATTGGGTTTGCTTTTTGATAGTAGAGAAGCTTAGAACACCTTAGGGCTTTGTAGGTCATAAAGTCAGTGCCCAGAGATTGTCTCACAGCAAAGTTTCCACAATCCAGCATTGCATTATGTATCAGAACACCACTGGAGCAAAGAAAATAAAAAATAAAAAAGTGACTCATTGTTACCACACTCACAAAAGACATGCAATTATTTGCTTAGCAATTTGTTAATTTATGACAAGGACAGTGTTCCAAGCCCATAAAGTAGCAATGTTCCCCCATCCAGAAAAGCCCTTCCTCTGTGCTAAAAGGCAAATAATTCATCAGGAAGCAGCTTGGTAGGTATGGAGTGAAGACTGGAGGGGGATTCCTGAGCCATGCGAGGTCTGACAGGGCACTGCCACGGTGACCCAACACAGTGCACCAAATGTAGCATCTGCCAACCTCTTCATTCTTTTAGCTTCCCTCTTCCAGGGTACCACCTGACCACGCCTCTCCGATCCGCATCGTCTATATCTGGTGCACACGATAACTGGTCTAGTTGATGAGATGCCACTTAATTATAATCACAATCCAGTTCTGCCTTCTTCTTTTTCAAATTTATTTATTTATTTATTTTTAGACAGAGGGGAAAGGAGGGAGAAAGAGAGGGAGAGAAACATCAATGTGTGGTTCCCTCTTGCACACACCCTCAGCTGGGGACCTGGCCCCGCAACCCAGGCATGTGGCCCCGACTGGGAATCAAAATGGTGACCCTTTGTTTTGCAGGCCAGCACTCAATCCACTGAGCCACACCAGCAAGGGCTGGTTCTGCCTTCTTGAAGTTCTACTGGATCACCATGATGGAAAGTTGTGTGTAATCCCAAACTCTTCAAGTATTCACTTATGTCCTACCCCCACCAGTAGCTAATCTCACCCTTCCTGTGTGGGTTCTACGAATTAACCACAGAAACTGCCAGATTTCCCTTACAGTCTAGTTCTTGGGCATCCTTCATAGATAACTATCAAGTATTACCAAGAAGAGTGTTCATTTGGAGCACTGATTTTATGACATGCCCCTAAGTATGTCACCTTTTGGGTTTGTTTTTGTTTTGCTTCGTTTTGGAAAACTCACGGCCATGTTCTTGTTAATCAAGGCATTCCACTGAAAGTTTTGAAGGTTCTACTTGTATTAAAAGATGGACTCTGGCAGAATTCTACTTTGTTTCTCTATCTCAACTTCTATACCTTGGTTTCTCTGGTTTTAGTCTGATTACATTTAAACCCTGTGTTCTCTTTTTCTGCCTGTGTTTATGTCGCAGTTTCTCCTCAGCCTCTATTTGTTGTTCTTCCCCTTTGAGCCTTGGTCTTAATGACTCTGATGGGAGATCTCTCACGATCCTTCTCTCTCATATTTTCCCCTGTCTCTGCTATGTACTGTCTCTCTTTCCATCTCTGTGTTCCCTTCTTTCCCTTGTTCCTTCCTTTGGATGTTTATTCAACAATTCTCCCCTCCCCTTTTTCTCTCTGAGATTTCCCACTGTCTCCAGGCCTATTCTTCTATCTCAGTGTATGCCTCTGATTTGGACTCTTCTCACCTTCCTACCAGCCTCCACCTATCAGCTCCTGTTGGTCTGTCTTGGTTTTGCACTGTAGCTGCTTGTCCTTTGTCTCGCTGCCTGTCTCCAACACCACCTATTTCCTGCTCTTTTTCTGTCAATAAATCTTCCCACTGCCTGCCTCCTCCATCTTCCGCTCTTTTGCTTCTTGGGTCCCCTGACAAATCCCCCTTGTCTCTCTCCACCTCTCCTCTCGCTCTGCTAATCTCTCAGTCTGCCACTGTTACCTCCGTCTCTCCTGAGTCTGGTTGTTCCTCCTTGTCACTCACTCTCAATAAATCACTGTCTAGACTATCTGTGCCTTCCACCCTTGGGGTCCCTTGCTGTCAGATTTTTTTTTCTTGTCCTCTTTGTTTATAACCATTTTACCAAGTCCATGATTTTGGTTTATTTCAAGCTTCTGTAACAGTCTTTCTTGATATTCCTGCCAAGGATTCTCTGTCATGTACTCCATCTCCATTCCCCTCTGTCTCTTCTATGCGAGGAATCCTCTTTCTTTCTATCTGTCCCCCAGTCTCTGTATGCCTGTCTTTAAGATCCCCTTTGTCTTTCTCTAGCTTAGCTTTTCTTTTCGGCAGGGTATTTTTTAAAATCTTCCTGTCTGTTGCTTTTGCTTCCATAGCTTTTCTGTGGGTGATTAAGGGTTATCTCATTTCCTCCATTGTTTAGCAGAGTAGCAACCTTAACCTGCTCTACACTTCCCATAACCTGGATGTTCTGCCTGAAGAAGGGAGGGGTGTTGTGCAATAGAGAAAGAGAACACAGCCCTGGCTGGGTAGCTCAGTTGGCTAGAGCATTATCCCAACACACCAGGCTTGTGGGTTCAAACCCAGGCAGGGCTCAGGAATGTAGAGTTAAGTGGTACAACAAATAGATGTCTCTCTTGCTCTCTCCCCCTTCCTTTCTCTCCCTAAAAATAAAAAAAAAATTTTTAATTTAATTTTAGAGAAAGGGGAAAGGAGGGAGAAAGAGAGGGAGAGAAACATCAATATGTAATTGCCTCTTACTCAACCACTACTGGGGATCTGGCCCGCAACCCAGGCATGTGCCCTGACTGGGAATTGAACTGGTGACCCTTTGGTTTGTAGGCTGGCACTCAATTGACTGAGCCACACCAGTCAGTGCCTAAAAAAAAATTTTTTTTTAAGGCAGCAGAAGCAGCTGGGGAGAAAGGAGAGCTTGTGAATGACTCCCAGAAGAGGCAGGCATTCCTTAACCCCTTTGCAGCCAAAAGGAAGCCTTCCCTCAGCTGCTTCTGCCTCTGCCTCATTCTTCCATGAAACCCGGGGCCTAGGAAGACCTTGCACTGTGCACCAGAATAGGTGTTTGAGGCCGTACTATGGCTCTGGCCTTCTGCACTGTCCTAAGAAGAGAGACCTAGGCCCATGTTCCTTCCTCTAAAAATATCTGTTTGCTTTGAAAAGGTCAAGAGATACTAAAGAAACTGAAAAAGCAGATGCTGGAAACAGTAGAACTTAGGTTAAGTATAAACACAATATAGTGAGGTTTTGAGAAACAGAAATATCAGCAGCAATCACTACAACCAGGGTCTCTGGTCTCGTGGCAGCCGTATGTCTAATAACTACTGGCTATGGACAGCACCGTGTGTTCCCCTGTCACTGCCAGAATTGGGTCATATGTGAGGCCTCTCTTTCCTCTGGTCTCACCCCCTCCATATCAGATCTAATACTGGTAGAACTTCACCTTCCCTCATCGGTCCTGATGCTAAAGCAAAGGGTTTCTGCAGTCTCATGCCTCCTCCCACACTTTATTGGTAGCACTGGCTGTACCTCTGGTAGCATTAGTTTTCTAGAAAGGACAGTTGGTTATCTGATGATGAAATTCAGTGAACAATAGCCCAGATTTTCACCCACTCATGACCATTAGCATTTCTTCCCAGATCCTAGGAATGGGGGAGGGGTTTGAATTAGCTGAAAGAGGAACTGGGATACTGAAAATCCAGTCCAGTCCTAACGGGGGGCTGTGCATTGAAGACCGCCATCTCCTTGTCCTGGTCTTACCTTTCCCAAGACTGGCAGAAGAGGAACCCGAGGCCTCTCTCTAGTCTTTCAGGTTGAAAGGGGAATCATCCCTGGTGACAGGCTCCCCATCACATGTCCTGGTGCCCAGGGATGGGTGAATGAGGCCAAGGCCATAGGGCATCACTGACCAAAATGCAAACACCTAGCGTGATGCTCACAGCTCCCACAGTGGCTGGCCCAGTTCCACCAAGGACAACCAGAGCAGGAGGTACCTGATGGTGCTGCTGGATGAACCACAGACCCATCCACCCCAGGGGTACCAGGCAGAAAAGGGCCAGGGTGGCCAACGTGGCCCAGCTGGCCACAGTGAAGGCCAAGGAAGGGCCTGGTGGGAAAGCAGTAGCAACTTCTTAGGTGCAGGCAGGTAGAGGACTTTAGCTGTAGGAGGAGAGATACCACAGAGAAGCCAGCATAGTGGCCAGAGAGAACGATGGTGCTGAGGCAGCTCACTATTTGGGGAGCCAGGGTCAAAGGTTAGAGAACCTTCCATGACCTACTACCCAATCACGTTCCAATATCCACCCTTCAGAGAGTAGCTCCCAAGCATTTTCTGACACTCCCTCCCTCCGGACACCCAACCTTTATGCTTCTCCTTACATCAGGAGGCTGAATGGCCTTGAAACAGTCTTGCTACAATGCGAGCAGCCTTGGCTCAGAGGCTGTCTTCCCTGGGGCTGCAGCACCTGCACAGGACGCCCCCTAAATTCTATTCCTGGCTTTTCATGCCCCATTCCCACTCCCAATATGGGAGCTCTGCCTTCTCAGAAGAGCTTTGTATTCAACATTTCTGCAGCTGACAGGACACCTGTGGCAACCCAAGCTCCTGAGGCACTGCTCAGACTCCAACTGTGGCTGGCAGTCAATCCCCTCCCTTCAATTCAGCCCAAAATTGGGCGGGTCAAGCCCAGAGGAGGTGTGAGTCGGAGACTCTCTGGGCAGTCACGAGACATAAAGCTGGTGAAGAGACTGGGGTCCTCATCTGGGCACATCCCCCTTCCTGTCTAGCCTCTCCCTGAGTCTCACCACCAAATGGTGACGGAGAAGGTCCCAGGCCTGGCCCAAGGTCTGCTTCCACAGCATGTCAGCTCTATCAGCCAGGAAACAACCTGCATGCAAATGGGGTAGGGGTGGGAGGGCCTTAGGCTTCCTCCAAGCCAGTGTACAACCTGAGGAGGAATCTCCAGCCCCTACCTTTCCCAGTTGTTTAGTTTCTCTCAGCAAAGCTAACAGAGGAGGACTAGAATTACTGTTGGAAGCTTGTCTCCCACCCTCAAACCTGCCCAGCCTTCCCTGTAGACTCACCTAGAGGTACAGCCACCAGCATCAAGGCCCAGGGCGCGATGCCATGAATGGGGTCGGCCCCCATCTAAGGCACAACAACAGACCAGAGGAGACAGGACCACTGCGAGTGTGGTACAGACCCAGATCCCATTCTCCTGGTGGGCACTCCGCCCACCCATCCCAGCATCAGACTGTCAAGACTTAGCATCAATTTTAAAGGTGCCCACCAGGTTTTCTAATATCAGCTTTCCATCCTTTACCCTCATCCAAGCGCCTCCCGAAGCCCCTCACCGGAGCAGCGCCCCAGCCCCTGTGAGCAGGCTGTGCACCAGGGAGACACAGATGTTTCGCCACTTCCAAGGGTCCTGAGCAAGCAGATCCCAGGCTGGGCAGCAGCTGCAGCACCCAGTGCATCTCGTGGAAGGCGGCACCGCTCATGAGGGGCCCCAAGGGCGACAAGGCCTGGCGGGCGGGCTAGGACCGGATCAGTTCCTTGGACTCCTGCACACTCGGCTTAGAAGCACCCAACACCCGCTATAGAGACGCTGAACCGGCCTCCTGGCAGGGCTGAATCCTTAGCTCTCCGACCCGCCAGGCCTTTGGAATCTGCTGTAACTTTTCCAAGGTCTCGCCCAGGATCTCTCGGCTGGGCGGTGATTGGAGCAACCACGCAGCCACCGCCCCTGGAGCCAAGGCAACCGATCTCGTCCCGCCCTAGCAACAGACCTGGGGTTACAGGCCCTAGGGGTGCAACGGAGCTCAGGCGGACTTCCGGGATGTAGATAGAGATCTTCCCTAACTCTGTCCTGAATTCTCGGGAGCTTCCGAAATAGGTCACTAATCTCACCTGACACTCCCAGAGGCCCCGCCCCACTAACTTTCACCTCTTCTCCCCACTCAAAAATCTCACCTGTTAATCATCCCTCCCACCGCATCCACGCAGCCCTGAAGTTCGAGGGCATGGCAAACCCACTTTCGTTTGCTTCAACCTCACTACCACTGCACTGCTCCACCCCCGCCCCCCCAGTCTCAGTTGTTGCGGGGGTGGGGGGGTGGGCAGGGAAAAGCCACTTTATTTTCTTAGGACCACCCCTTCTAACTCCGGAGGTTCGCAGGCCTCTAACACATCCCAGCAACCATATAATTCTAGGAGCCCCGCCGTCATACACAGTATTTCTCAAAGAGAACAGCTTCTATTTTGGAGAGGCGATCCACTGGGGACTCCCCCCCCCAACCTTTTTTGGGTGCCCTACGTTGGAGCCTCGTTATTAGGGAGACAGAGGGAACTACTCAGCACTGTAGTCTTGAACACCACCCCCCACCCGAGAGTGGTACCTGTTGGGTGGATAATCTCTTCCAATCTGAGGAAGCAACGAGAGGTCACGCAGGGTCACACACCTCAAGGCTGGGACAAAATTAAAGAGAAAAACAAAGACCCATCATGCTTTCAGCAGCAGGACTCTTGAGGATTCCAGAACCTTCCCTCCAGGAGAGGAAAATCTTCCCCCCAACACCTATTTCCTGAAGAGCGAGTGATAGCACTTTGCTGTCTCCCATCTCCCTCCAAGCCCCATCTCAAGCTGTCAGTCAGAAATTCACAGAGCCCTTCCTGTGCATGGAGCCAGTGGGTCCAGCTCCTCCCAAAGAATGACCTTCGTCAGCCAACAGGTGCTCCCCCAGACGCTCTCACCACCCTTTCCCCACCAAAACCCTATTAGTACAAGGGGCCAGGGGCATCCCTTCATTCCTCCACACCCACCACCCCATTAAAAAAAATTACAGTGGTTCTTTTCAATTTTATTTGTTATATGAAAGCCATACAAAATTAATATAGCAGATTTGGAAATTACAAAAAAAATTACAGCACACTTGGAAAATTACAGAAGGAAAATATGATGACCTTATTCCAACATTCAAAATAACCACTAATATCAACATTCCAGAGTATGTCCTCAGTCTTTATCTATGTATTATGCAAGTACATACTTGTATCTTAAAAAAACAAAATTAAGACCTACACTATTTTTATAAACTTTTTAGTATTCAAAGAGCATTTTTCTTTCCAGTCAAATGTTCTTCCACATGATGTTAATGGCTGCACAGCACTCTACCATCTGGATGGATATACAATAATTTACTTAAGCAATCCCCTATTGCACATTTTCATTACAGCAGAAATGAATTCCCAATCAGAAAGTTGCTTCCCATTTTTCTCTATTGCAATGCTGGATGAACACCTTTTAACTAAATCTTTCATTATTTTCTTAGGATTAATTCCCAAGTGTATAATTACTAGGTCAAAGGCCATGGTAATGTTTGATACATATCACCAAACTTGCATCCAAGAAGACTGTACCAATCTGTATTACCATATATGCAATGTACGGTGGTGTTATTTTAGTACCCTTTGCCAACAACTAGGTCTTATTTTTTTCTGATATAGTCTGCTATGGGAAAATTGCTTATAGCTCTATTTGCTGCTCTTTAATTACTAATGAAGCACACTTTTTTCCCCCATGGTTTTATCCATTTCAATTTTTCATGAATTTCCTATATATTTCACAGCTGGCTCTTGTTCCTTAAAGCTGCTTATATAAAAATTATAGGATGGAGGAGAGGTGGAAGGGTGAGGATGAAACCACAGGACACTTTAATATGGCCCCACATCTCTGAAGGAGGCAGACAGACTGAAGGTGGCTGGAAGCTTGCCCTTGCTGAGGGTGGCTGTCCTCCCTCTTCCTGGGGTGTGCCTGGCCCTGACAGGCCCCTGCCCTCTCCGGGCCTTGTTCTTCACTCGAGTTCTGCCTGCCTCTGTGTGCCCAGGCCGCTCGTCCTCATGTCTTCTCCATGATAGGTGAGGTTGGCAGAGCCACATATCCATGGCTGGAGGGAAATACTGTGGCCAGTGAAGTGAGGAGGGGAAGAAAGGATGGCAGCAATGTCCAGGGATACAGTGACCTTTGTTGAAGTCTATGAGTGGACTCAGTCTACCCACCCCTTTCTACTACAGCCCCACACACATGCAGCTTAGGCTGCAAGAGCTTGGTTCAACACTCTACTTTTCCCTAAATCTTTCAGTTTCTTATCAATGGAGAAGAGGATGCAGCTCCCTGTACACCTCCTCCCCCCAAATAGAACAAACAGCTTCCTGCAGCCCCAGGATATGGCTACTTTCAGGCAGGGAGACTGGGCAAAGGCTGAACCATACCAGAGCCCAAGCCAAAGAGTGAGATTGGATCAGGAGCTGGGGGTGGCAGGTTTACACAGTCTGATGCCCCAAAGTGGGGGGTTCTGTCCCAGAACTCAGCTTTCCTGGTTGCCGGGGTGGGGGGCATGTAGTTCCTGCCCCATACAGGCCTGAGCTGAGTCTCACACACTAGCCTGGAAAGTGAAGTGAGGAAAGAGAGCAGTGGTAGCTGGAGCCCCATGGGAGCTGCAGTCCTGTTTTGGGGAGTGGAGGACACCTGGTGCCACCTTTGCATGATGAAAAGTCCATGTAGAGATTGAGCTTCTACTAGCTCTTCTAACTCTCCAACCCCTACCCCCACATCCTGGGGTTACAGTCAGGGAGGGAGGAGGGGCAACAGCTTAAGTGAAAAGCAGTTTTCTTCCCACCCCAAGCTCTGAGTCTGCACGATGGGCTTCTGATTCCCTTAAGTGGGTGATTTCCCCACCTCATGGGTAGGCAGAGAAACTGAGACAGGGGGTCTAAGGGTCCCACATACACTAAATATCCCTGAATCTAGAGTGTGAACCAGTCTATGGAAACACAGGGAAAGTGAAGAGTGGGGGCATGACTACTCAGATGGAGAGTTTCAGTATGAAATGCTCCCCAAGACACAGCTTACTTCTGGACCCCACCTGGAAAGACCATGGGGAAAAATGAGGGATAAGGAAGGAAGGTCAAGAAAAACATCTGGATAAAGGGACAGACAGGGTCTTCTTTGCTCCACTTCTCCCCATTATCACACAAACACTGACTGACCTTGGGTAGTCAGAGCCATCCAATTCCCTAATTCAGTCAGGGTTTCTGATCTAAAACTGCTGTCTGGCTGTGCCAGTCAAGGTGAAGACTCTTCAGAGGAACAGGGTTCCCTTTCCTGAAAGGTTATCATCACCACTCCTGCTGTTTGGACCTTCCCGGACCGTTATGTCACCTTCCAGACGAGGGGGAAAGCAGCTCCTCCTCCTCCTCGAAGCCAGGGGCAGAGGGCAACAGTTCTTCAACTGGCAGCTTTAGCTGGGTCAGGACATAAAGCTTGCCACTGAAGAACTACTGCGGCTCAGCCAGGTGCAGGTGTGGGAGGTACAGGCTCCTAAAGACAAAGGAAAGAAAAATGGAAAAGACCTGAGCAGGGCAATACCCCAGGGACACCGTCCAGCTGACTGTCCAAGTCCAGCCCCAGCACTCAACCTTCTAAAGAAGGGTTCTTGGCTCTCACCTGGGCCTACAGGAGCTGTTAGCTTCAGTGAGAAGCAAGAAGTAGTTCTAAACATACTTCCCTTCCTTCTCTTTCCAGACCTGAAGCTGTAAAACCCAGGTCTTCTCTCAACCCTTTAATCCCAGCCACCAATGGAGGACCCCAGCCTATTCAGTATTCAGAAAAGGCAGGACCTGGGGCCCTGGACACACCCCACCCATCACCCAGGTACTAGGTGAGAAATTGTACCTCAATTCCAGAAATGTGAATTCAGTGATCAGCCCAGCTGACTTATTCCCAGGGAGTTCAGCTGGAAGAAGAGTTTTGGGGCCCTGGATCTGGGAAAGAGCGAGGAAGGGAAGAGATCTAGAGTTTGGAAGGTCAGCAGAGGCTCCTGGGACTGTGAGGAGAGGACAAGGGACCAAAGACTGGAGGGGAGGGAGATTAAGCAGGGAGGTTGGGCAGCCTCCCCAGGACTCTCAAATGCCAGGCATTCCGCTTGCACATTCCGGGTACATCTGGTATGAATTCCAGGCTGTCTGCCGGCCCCTCCATGTCTGAACTTTGTTCCAAGTTCCAAGCCCCGCCCCCACAGTTCCAACGCATGAATCAGCAGGAAAAGCCGGGCCCTGCAGCATGGCCCAGGGAGGGGGCTGGGGGCGTGGCAGGCTTAGGGGTTGTGAGCTGGGGTGGCAGGAGGGTTTGTGCTGACACTCAGCTCCAAGGGCACATCCATGCCAATGGAAGGGGCCAAGGTGGTCTTGCCTTGAGACTTTTATACTCAGAAGGTAAGAAAGATTAGGGTAGGGGTGGGAGGTTTTCAAATTACAAAACCCTTTTGGGAGGCATGAACTTTGAGATACCTTCCTTCCCCCAGGTGACTAGTCCCCAATTCCTCCCCAGTCCTTTTTCTGGAAGCCGGCTGTGGTCAGCCCATAGGACTTAGCGGCTGCTGAGAGTATGTGCCAAGCAGGTGCCCTTGGCTGCAGGGCGGGGTGGGTCCAGGGCCGTGACCCTCTGACCAGCTGCTCCATCAACCTTCTGGCACCTTGACAGCTTCCAGCCCGGTCTGACAGCCAGGATGACAGGCCAAATGAGTTGGAGGCAGGAACTAGGGCCGGAGGGAGGTGGGGGCGACAGTCTAGTCTGAGGCTACGGGGAGGGGCCAAGAGTTGGCCGAGAGGTGGGGAGAGAGGGAGCCCAGTGATGACTAACCCAGGCGCCCCACCCAGCCCGCCGGTTTCCCAGGCGGTCGGGGCCAGGTTTGGGCTAGGGCCCCCACAACCGAACAGGCTGGGGGGAGGTGCAGAGGTGACCTTCTCTCGGCCCAAGACCGCTAGTGAGGCTGGGGCCGGGGGTAGAGTTTCCAGGCCCTCCTCAAGTCCGCTTCCCCCACCAACCGCGGTGAAACCCTAAACCTTTGGGTTGCATAAGGTCCCGGCACCGCCGCCCCCTACTCCTCTCCCCTCCCCCCTTACATAACATCCTTGGGAGGGAATGAGAGGGGCCGGCCCACCCAGAGACCCCTTCTCTGTCAGCACACTCAGCTGACCCTGACCCACTGAATGCCGGTAGAGGCAAAGCACCTCTACCGCCACCCGCCCGATCCAAATCCTCCCCAGGCTGGGGAGCCGTCTCCCATATCCTCAGAGCGAAGGGCGTCGAGGTTAGCCGCCCCCAGCCCTCGGGCCCCTCACCTTCCTCCTAGTTACTCCGCAAGACCTTCCGCGAAGACTCCTGCCCCAGACTCTCTTAAAATCTCCTGACACACTACTCCAGACAGTCCAGGCCCCTCTCCCCCAGAGTGCCCCTGTATCCACCGCCCCCTCTCCCCTCCCCCGGAAGGGCAGGGTGTGGCCGCCAGAACCCTACTTGCCCCCTTTACCCGTTAGCACGGTTCCCTCCGGTGGGGCCAGGACCCCAGCTCACACCCACCTGGTGCTGGGTGTGTGGTGGGTGCTGAGAGTAGGGGAGCAAATCAGCGCGTCCGTCCCCCACGGCCGGCGGCGCTCTCTTCCCAACGCCCAGCACTCACCGGCTCCAGTCTCCGATCAGCTGGCGGCGTCGTGACGCACAAGTTGCGATTGCACCTCCCAGGGCCAATCACCGCCTACTGGTGGGCAGCGTGACCACACCCACTCGGGGGTGCCAGCCCTTAGCTCTGGTCCCGCCTTTCTGGCTGTCTTAGCTCTGATTGGCAAGATGGCCACCCCTTTGCTTAGTAGAGTTGTACTAAGCCACACCCACCAACTGACGAGCTGGCCAATACGTGAAAAGGTGTGGCCCAGCCCTCCTCCTAGGCTACTTGCTTTGAAGAGTGCTACGTCAAAGCAGGGTCCCAAAGAGCAGAAGGAAGTAAAGGCGTGTGTTTGTAGTGCATACTGGTCAATGTAGTTCTCGATCCGACACATCCTTCCCAGAATCCAGAGCGCTCTGTGAGTTGGCATTTTTAAACTCATCTCTGAATTCATCCCGGCTAAATCCTTAAAGGGCTACAGCCCCTCCTTTTTTGAACCTGTGAGTGCTTCTTTTAGACAACCCCAAAACGGATTCGCTGACCTCTGCAGGAGGCTGAGGAAAGGTGGAGCAGGCGAAGGAAGCAGCAGGAGTGGGCAGAACTGAAAGTGGAAATCAGCCCCCAGGGCGGCAAACCCTTCCACTGGATGGGAACTTCTCGGGCTTTTGGGTTAGGGAGGACTGTCCATCTCGCCACGTCCCAGCTTTCACTGGAGATAATCTAGCCCACCCCTCCTGGGAAGGGGTGGGGTGAGGCTTCCTGATCAGGAGACGTTTATTTCCTTGGAGATGTCTCATCCCAGCCGCAGCGAAAGAACCGCTTCCTGACAAAAGATTCATACTTTTCAGCGGCTGCGAAGCTGGGGAAATCCCGGCTGGGCCTAAGATGTCGGACCTTCTTGTACTCTCAGCCCTTGGACCCTCCCCCGAAGGCCCTCAATAGAATGGTTTGATACCAGACCCCCTCCCAAAAAGATTCATAGCACAGCCTTCATCTGAGGGTAGAAGGACGACTTGTGGCCAGAAACTAGGGGATGGGCCATGTCAAAGTACAGATGGTAGGCAACACCACCCTCTCCCTAATAGCCCCATTCTCTGCCGCCCCCCACAAGCTTTCCACTGACTCAGACCTACTTAGGGAAGAGATTTCAAAGGTAGAGGCCAATGAGGAGGTTGCTCTTTCCCCTAGGGGCCAATCAGAATTTAGAGGGGCGGGGGATGGGCAAAACCTGAAAGGAACCTAGTGACTTGGCAAAAGCTAGTGAACTGCGTATTTAAAGAGGCAAGTTTGAGACCCACCCCACCTCATCACTCGGCTGCCCTCACCCCTCCCAAAACCGAACAGAAACTGGTAGACAGGGATCCATGACTTTTTCATAAGTGCCAAGTTGGGGGTGAGGGTAACCGAGTTGCAAGTATTAGCCTGAAGTGAGATCGTTCCTTTTGTATTTAATCAGGGCTCTGCCAAGTGATTGCTATGGTTCCTAGGAGCTCTAGAATTCTGAATTGTGTTCAGAATATTGTGCCTTTAAGGAAACTTCCTGCCTTCCACCCCAGTAACAGCTGATTGTTGGAAAGTGTGACCTCAGGGGACGAATCAGCTGTTACCACATCCTCTTTCCTCTTGGCCTGCCCTACTCCATCGGCTTATTCCCTCCTCCCCCACCATCTGTAGGGAGGGAAGGAAGGAGATGGGACCCCAAATATGGGGGGGACCTGCTTGTATGTACGTTTCTCTTCCCTCTTTCTTACTCCAGCACTGTCACCATCGGCTCCCCCCCCCCCCCCAAAAAAAAAAAAAAACACTACTGGTTAGTTTTTCAGAGGTTCTGAGCTTGGAATGAGAGGTATTTCCTGTCAGCACAGTCAGCTGAGACCCACCCTCCTCTCCCTGGTCTAATAAGGGAGGCCACTGCTGCGGGGAGGCCCAGAATGGAGACTGGATGGGTGTGTGGGGGCCCCAGGAATGGGTACTGGGGAAAGTCCAGTGAAGCTGTGGACTAAGCCTGGAGGAGAGGAACAGCTGTGGAAAAGAAGCTTCCTGGTGTCAGAACCCTGCTCTCCAGGCTACCTGCCCACTACTCTCTGCTGAAGTTGCCATATTCCTCCCCAAACAGGGACCTCCTAAGGGGACTCTCCTGGCCTTGCCTATTCACTCCTTTTCTAACTGTTCTTATACCCCCTGGCCCTTGGTTGCTTCAGTTTTGCACTCTTACCCTCCACAGCAAGGTAGCTAACTAATGTGGAGCTTCCCAGGGCTGCAGGTGGAACACACTGGCCCCGGGAACCAGGAGCTTTGGCTGGGAAGTCCTTCAGGAAAACCTAAATAAATATTTTACCCCAGCCCTGGGCTGGGAATCAGGGTCACTGCAGGACAAGCTTAGTGTGAAGTCTCAGGACTCACTTGGCAGGGTTGGGAGAAACTGATCAGGGCCTTGGCCAGGCTTGGAAGGGAGAGAAATCTCACCAGCTGACCCATTCCCATTACCCTTAGCATAAAAGCCCCATCCTCTTCCCACTCAAGGCCCTTACGGTAGGCTCTTCTCTCCTACCACAAGGTAGGAGTTTCGTTCTGCTAAGTTTTCATCCCCTCACCCTCGCACCCTATAGGGTGAAAGCACAGGCGTTGAGTCCAGAGTTTCTCCACCTCCTCAGCACTATTGACATTTTGGATTGGATAATTTCTTGTGGGGCTGTACTGTGGGGGCTACCATCCCTGGCCCACTAGATGCCATGACAATCAGAAATGTCTCTAGCCCTGGCTGGTGTGGCTCAGCGGGTTGAGCGCCGGCCTGTGAACCAAAAAATCGCAGTTCGATTCCCAGTCAGGGCACAAGCCTGGGTTGCAGGCCAGGTCTCCAGTAGGGGGCACGTGAGAGTCAATCACACATTGATGTTTCCTTCTCTTTCTCCCTCCCTTCCCCTCTGTCTAAAAATAAATAAATAAAATCTTTTAAAAAAAAAGGAAAGAAAGGAGATGGGTCTCCTTTGGAGTGAGGGTCTACACGTCAAAGAATGTCTGAGATTGCTGATAACCATCAGGAGTTTAAAAAACAAAACAAGTGTCTGTAGACATTACTGAATAGTCCCCGGGAGACGGAATTCCCCTCAGTTAAGAACCACTGAGTTAGACACAGTTGAATTCAAATTCTAACTCTTACCAGCTCTTAGTCTGATGAATATACTTGCAAACATCTCTGAGCCTTAATTTCCTCATCTACAAAACTGAACGAATAACAAATTCATGATTTATTGTAGGAATGAAGCAGGGATTATATTTGAAAATACCTAGCACAGCACCAGGCCCACCAGCCCACAGTCAGTGCACTGAATGTTAGCTTCCTTCAGTTTTCTCCCTGCCAAGTCAGCAAAGGCTAACCTCACTCACCACGGGTGGACTGCTGGGCCAGCTGCAGCCTGTCTTCCTGACTGTCCAAGCCATGACATCCAGGAAACTCAATATGGACGTCGGTGAAGGAGAGAGGCTAATTTGGTCCTAGATTCCTCAAAGCCTGAAGGTGCTTGGGTTGGGATTCAAGGGAAATTGGGAATAGGTCTATTACAGAGCATTATATGTCTCAAGATGTGGCCTGCAGATTGCCTGCATCAGAATTACCTGCGGGTGCTTATTAAAAATTCAGGTTTCTGGGTCTCATTCCAGACTATTGAGTCAGAAGTACCTCATAAAGTTTGAACAACACACTTTTAGGGCTCAGACTGGGGAAGGTGTCATTGTGTCAGAAATTGCAGTGCACCAGTGCCCACCATTGCAAGGATTTTCCTATTCAAGGGAAGGAAAGAATACTGATTGGATTCCCTTTCTTGGAAGCCATGTTCATTGGCAGCCAAGGTTGATCCAGCCCTGTGTAATCCATTGATCCTAACCAGATCATTAATCCTCTTCTTCGCTCTCACCATTTTTCAGATTAAGAATATGACAGGAACAGTTTAATGTATTTTAGATTCTAAGCTACCTCCAAATATTCCCTTTTGAATATTTCCTTTTATATTTTGGAATTGAAAAGACATAACTTCACGGGCCTGTGAACTAAAAGATTGCGGTTCGATTCCCCATCAGAGCACATGCCTGGGTTGCAGGCCAGTTCCCATCAGGGGATGCACCAGAAGCAACCATACATTGATATTTCTCTCCTTCTCTCCTTCCCTTCCCTTCTAAAGATTAAAAAAAAAAAAGACATAACTTAAGTGAAAATTAAAATGAAAATTCTGGCCAGGTAACTCAGTTGGTTAGAGCATCATTCCCATACACCAAGGATTCAGGTTTTATCCCTGGTCAGGGCACTTGCAAAAATCAACCAATGACTGCATAAATAATTGGAACAACAAATCACTGTTTCTCTCCCTCCCTCTTTCTCTCTAAAGATCAGTAAATAAAAATAAATAATTAAATAAGTAATAAGGGCACTATCTCATAAAAAATAAGTAAAAGGAGGCATCTTATGGAATGATTTAAAAAAAAAGAATCCTGAAGTTAGTCACACCCAAGGTCATTGATGCACTGCAAGCCCAAACCACTAGAGGTCAGGGCACACACAGACTTGCAGAAAGAAAAAGTGGTGCCTGCTCAGTCCAGGGAAACTGAGGCCAGAGCAAAAACCAGGTGGATCCAGTTTTATTGGTACTAAGAAGCAGGCACTACCTCCTGATCATTAAAACTCATCCTCCCATCTCAGGCACTCAGATCAAAGTTGGGGATGCGTGATTGTCAAGGAACACCTAATTTACCAGCTGGAAAAACGATAGAGCGAGGGCCAAGAAGTACAGAGAACATTGCTTTTAGAAAGAAATAGGCCTGGGTTTGAATCCTATCTGTATCACTTCTTAGCTATGTGACCTTGGGCAAGTTACTTAAGGTATATCCATTTTCTTCATCCTAAAATGGATACAAAAATTTCTTCTTAAAAGGGTTGTGGTAAGGGTTAAACAAAACAAGTTATGCAAAGTACTTAGCATGGTGCCTGGATCCTACTCAGTGCTTTGTAAATGGTGGTT